GCTGGCGCTGGCGGCCGCCGCCTGGGGCGTGTCGCTGCTCCTCGGGCTACTGCCTGCTCTCGGCTGGAATTGTCTGGGCCGTCTGGACGCCTGCTCCACTGTCCTGCCGCTCTACGCCAAGGCCTACGTCCTCTTCTGCGTACTCGCCTTCGTTGGCATCCTGGCTGCCATCTGTGCACTCTACGGACGCATCTACTGCCTAGTCCGCTCTAAAGCGCCGCGCCTACGCGCGCGTCCCGGGGCTGGCGAGGGCGCCTCGACCCCCGCACGCCGCACACCGCGCTCCTTGGCGCTGTTGCGCACGCTCAGCGTGGTGCTCCTGGCCTTCGTGGCGTGTTGGGGCCCCCTCTTCCTGCTACTCTTGCTGGATGTGGCGTGCCCGGCGCGGGCCTGCCCCGTGCTCCTGCAGGCGGACCCCTTCCTGGGCCTGGCCATGGCGAACTCGCTTCTGAACCCCATCATCTACACGTTCACCAACCGCGACCTGCGTCAGGCGCTCCTGAACCTCATCTGTTGCAGCTGCCTCCCCTGCGGCCGAGGCTCAGTCTCGGGTGCCTCTCAGCGGTCGGGGAGCGGCCCTGAGGCTTCGGGCGGCCTGCACCGCTGGCTGCCTCCTGGCCTGGGCGGCAGCTCCAGCCACTCCGAACGCTCGTCCCCCCAGCAGGATGGGCTGGACACCAGCGGCTCCACTGGCAGCCCTGGCGCTCCCATAGCAGCCGGGACTCTTGTACCCCCGCCCGCCGCAGACTGATGCCTTTTGGCCTGCTATTGCCTTCCCTAAGAGTTCTTTTGCAGACTTTCTTTTTAAATAAATGAATTTGTAGGAAAAGCAGCCGAAGGTGGTGAAGGTAGAAAAGACGCAGAAAAATGTATTTTCTTGACGCTAAACCCCGCAGGAATGGACAAAATAGACAAAAATTCCTGCCCTTGTGGAATTGATGTTCTGGTGGCAGACATGGACAATAACGGAGTAAAGAGGTATGGAGATAATTCCAATGACAATACAGTGATGTGATGGTGGTCAGGTGATGCCTCTCTGCCGAGGTGGTGACGTGTGATGTGAGCTGAGACGGTCACTGTCCTGGGAAATTCTGAAAGAAGAGCATTTCAGGGTGGAGGGAACAGCAGGTGCAAAGGCCCTGAGGCTAGAATAAGCCTGTGTATTCTCTGAAAAGCAAGGATTTCAGTGTGGCTGGAGCAGCGATGGAGAGGGAGAGTGGAAGGAAACAAAGGCAGGGAAATAATGGGGCAGGTGGTGCAGGGCCCTGTGGGCCCAGGAGAGGACTTTGCTTTTGCTCTGAGTAAGGCGGGATTCATGGAGGGTTTTAGGCAGAGGAGGGACTTAATCTGGTTTAGATGTTTCCAGGTGCCTCTGGTTTTGTTGGGGGCAAACCTAGGAGAATAAGATGACGGTGACTGCACTGGCCTAAGGAAGCGATGATAAGGAGTCAGACCACATGGACTTATTGTGCCTGGTTAGTTACCCCCACAGTGCTAGGCGCAGGACACACCTTTTTCTCACCCGGACTGCAACCTTGCAAAGTAGGTTTCCTCACCTCCATTTGACAGGTGAGGAAACTCCAAGAACTGAGTACCTTGTCACAATGTCCGCTAAGGCAGGATACTAGCCTAGGCTGTCAGGCTGTGAGGCCCAAGGAGGTACAGGCCTAATGTCCTGCTTCTCCTGGGGGGCGGGGGGTCTGTCAAGGCCAGGCTGACAATCCCTCCTTCAAGGGTCTGCATTCTTGGCCGGGGGCGGTACCAGGGCCACGTTTGTGCCCATAAAAGCCTCCAGGCGCGCTGGCCACAGCCCCAGCTGTCCTCTGGCGCATTCCTAACCCTTGCGGAGGGGCCGGCGGGAGAGGGGCGGGGCGAAAGTGGGGAAAGGACCGGGGGTCCCGGTCTCAGACTGCAGCGGGCCACCTGCCGGGAGACAGCGGAACTGCAGGCAGTCGTGAGCCAGGTGGTGTTTTGGGGGAGGCTCTGACCCAGCCTAGGGGACTGAGTCTCCGTGGGCCGTCCCTGCAGACCTCATGCACAGGAAACCAACGAATTTCCTGGAACACAAACACACCCAAGCTTGGAGTTATATCCCAGGCCACTTCCAGAACTGGGCCCAATTTCCCACCTGGCCTGGCTCCCCTACACCAGGCTCCGGTAATCTTCCAGGGCAACCTGAGATATCCCACCCCACTGTTCAGTTGTTTGATGGTGTGATGATAGATTTCACTTGCTCACATTTTACAAAATTCAAAAAGCACCGGTTTCCCTTCCTGGATGCATACACTGTTCAGAAACTTCCAGAGCTATCCTGTGAATACCTGAGCTAAAATGTAAATACATTTCCTCTCTTTTTACACAACTTGAGCATTGCTCTCCACCTTGCTTTGTTAACTTAATAGTGTATCTTGGAAATTGTTGCACATTTAGATTCTCTACTGTGTTAATCAGCTCTGGGTCTCTGGTGTCTCTTCTTATAAGGGCACTAATGCCATTATGAAGGCCCCACCTTCATGACCTCATCTAAACCTAATTACCTCCCCAAATCCCCATCTCCAAATACCATCAAACTGGGGGTTAGGGCTTCAATATATGATGTGGGTGCGGTGGGGGGTGATGGTGTCACCATTCAGTCCATAACACATCTTTTTTTTTTCATGTTAAGAAAAATCGAGGTAAACATTCATACAGCAACTGTCTTTGCTTCGTTTCACTGGCTGCATGGTATTTCACAGCATAGACATATCATCACTTATTACACCAGGGCCCTAGGGAGGGACAAGTGTGTAGAGTCCAACACTTTGCATTTACACAGTGTTGCAATAAACATCTGATGTACACACATCCTCCTGCAGGTTTGCAAGTGTAAAACTTGGATAAATTTCTACACGTGGCACCGCTGGGTCACAGGGCTTGTAGATACTATTTTGAGAGATATGGGAGGTTTCCTTCGGCGGGTCGAGGAGGGTGAGCGTTTCCCCACAGCCCTGGCCACTCCGTGTACGGTATTAGACGGCTACGCTATGGCGCCCCCTCTGGAGAGATCCAGAACCACAGTTTCACGCAACAGGAATGGGCGTAGGGGCGAGGAACCCTCCATCCAGCCTCGCGCGCGGAATTAATCCCAGGCCCTGAGCAAGGACTCTTAAATCTTCCAAGTTTACCTCGGAGGCGGGCGGAGTCTTTTCTTTGACCAACATCTAAGAAACGTTTCCTTCTATTCACTTAGTTTTCATATAAATGGACTCTCAAAAAAACCCCACAAAACACCCTTAAATATATTTATTTAAAAGTTAACTTTAACTTTATAACACAAACAGCATAAATGGCAAATAAATATCACTTACCATGAAAAATAATCATCCTTCATATTTATTAGGCGCTAGCATTTACATTTAGTCCTTTCCGTAACCTAGCAGGTAGGTGCCTTTATTATTAACATTTTACAGGGAGAAAACCGAAGCCTGGAGAGGTTAAGTTACCGGCCCACTGGTACAGAGCTAGAGTGGCAGAGCCAGAGTTCGAATCCCGCGAGCTCCACCCGCCTTCCAGATGGGAGATAACTAAAAAAAATGAAGACAACGAAACTCCAAGTAGGTAGACAATTCTAGCTGGATCCTGCGCCCGCCTTATTGTGAGGCCTGCGCTGTTTGGAGTTAAAGGGAAAAGAGCAGCTCGTGGAGAGCAGGCTCGCGCTGAGACGACGAAACCCTGCAGACCGAAGGGACTGCTAAGGGGGAACGGGCCGGGTCGACTTGGCCGTGCGCCCTCGCCCGACGCCTCGGTCCTCGCCCATGGGCTCCGGGCACCTGCGGGAAGGGCGGGGAATCGCGGCTCCTTCCCCGCCGCGCCCTCTCCGCCCTCTCCCCGCCTCCTTCCCGGGCGTCCCGAAGCTGCCCCCCACCCGACGGCCTCGACCC